GTGTTCACATACGATTGCGGCCACCGCGCGAGGTGCCACCGCGCCCAGCTGAAGCTCCGCGGCTACGCCCCATCACCCAAGGCAAGCCAGCATTATCTAGGAACAGAACAGTATAAGTATCGTTTCTATGGCGAAAATTATCACCAGGCTTGTACATACATAGCTGCAGGAGTTCGTGAAAAATGCTCGGTGCGCTTTGCGTGAATTAACAATTGGAAAATGTTCCTATAGTATTGTAATGGTAATTATTCTTGAAGGCTGAATGGATTTGGACGCAATAGTGATTGCCAGAGCGTTTACAAAGCGACTAACGGCTCAGCTCAGCCACAACTCACTACTCTAGAAGCATACCAGACCAAAGATAATCGCTGGCTCATTCCTATTTATTCACGAGTTCGACAGTCGATCAGCAAGTACGGAAGATGGCTCCACTCTATCCAGAAACCAAGCATCACGCAAGCATCAGGCGACAGACTGACCGGACAACATTTTCCTCAACACTCCCACGCGGGCAGTCTGCAAGCCTGTTCGACTATCGCACTCCCATAGCCAAACGGAATCGCTTGAACATCGCATGACTCAACGATTTCGTCATGCAATCGGCGACCATATCAGCCGTACCACAATAACGAAAACAAACCTCGCTTCGCTCAACTCGCTCTCGTACGAAGTGGTGAGCGACATCTATGTGCTTAGTTCGCACCGAAGAACCAGGATTCTCGATAAGAGAAATAGCAGCCTTATTATCGCACGCTATGCTGACGCAGTTAGCGTCAACCCCCAACTCCAGGAACAATTGCCTCAACCACAAAGCTTCTCGCGTAGCAGCCGCAGCAGCCATGTATTCAGCTTCCGCAGTCGAAACTGCCACAGTAGGCTGGACACGACTGGACCAACTAACAGCCGCGTTCGAATGCAAAAACACAAAGCCAGTGGTCGACCTCCGGGTATCAGGGCAACCAGCGTAATCAGCGTCGGCAAAACCCTGCAGGCCACCGTTCCCTTCGAACACTAAACCAAAATCGCGCGTACCAGCAAGATACCGCAAAACACCCTTAGCCGTCAAAAGGTGGTCATTGGTAGGTTTCGACATATGACGTGCGAGCGCTCCCACGGCCTGAGAAATGTCCGGCCTAGTACAGGACGAAAGATACATAAGTCCGCCCACTAGCTCGCGATACTCGTTACCCACAGACTCATCCCCCTCTTCAGCAACACGAAGCTGAACTCCAGGCGAAAGCGGTGTAGCGCGACCGTTGGCATCAACAAAACCAAACTTCCGACAACAGGCCTTCAGTGTACTTCCGCTGTGACAACTTCAGCCACTTTTCGTTCACGCTTCTTTTGATCTCCATACCAACGAAACGATCGACAGGCCCTAGGTCTCTCGTCTCGAAAACCTCCATCAACCGTCTTTTAACCTCGTTAACCAATTCTTGGCATTTAGCAGCCGTGAGGGAGTCATCCACGTTGATCAAGAAATAAACACGATCATCCCCCTCGCCACGGACAAACATAGCAGGATCGGCAGCAGTAGGCTTGAAGCCCATCTTCCTCAACTCCTCCTTGAGCTTAACATACCACGCTCGCGGAGACTGCCGCAGACCGTAAAGCGATTTGTGAAACAAACAAGCATCATCAGGTCCACCAAGGTCATAGCCTGGCGGCTTGCCGCAAAACACAGGCTCTTCTAGATCTCCGTTAAGAAACGCGGTCTTGACATCCATCTGTTCCAGAACTAGACCACGTGCAGCAACAACAGAAAGCAGAGCACGAAGGGTGGTGCGCTTTCCGACAGGCGCAAATACCTCATCGAAATCTATCCCTTCCTCTTGGCGAAAACCTTGCGCTACCAAGCGCGCACGATAACGTTCGATGTTTCCATGCTCATCCCGCTTACGCTTGAAGACCTATATAATACCTCATTGTTCGTTGAGTTGGATTCCCCCGAGTGTTCCGTCCGAGGGGGAGTGTTGACATCCGGCCAGAACACTAACGGCTGTGCGACAGATAAGATGGAATGTTTGGTATAAAGGAGATGATGTTCTGACTGAAAGTTTGTTCTGTGATACCTGTAACGGTTAAGGTTGGCTTTACCTACACAGTTCCACTCGCCTATATCTTAACAGTGAGAACGCTGTAAGAACGCTTGAGAACACTGTAAGAACGCTTGAGAACGCTGTAAGAACGCTTGAGAATGCTGTGAGAACGCTGTAAGAACGCTTGAGAACGCTGTAAGAACGCTTAAGAATGGTGAGAGAACGGTGTAAGAACGCTTGAGAGTGGTGAAAGATTGCTTAAGAATGCGTGAGAAAATGGGTTGAGAATGTCCTTGAGAAGGGGTAAGATCGCTGAGAACGCTTGAGATCCCCTGCAAAGAGCGCTCTCTTGAGATCGCTTAAGAACTCTTGAGAAGGCACAATCTTAAAACATGGCAGATAAGAGCGTTCTCAGAACGCTCTTAACAGCGGCATCCACTTGTGCTTTTATATGGCTTAAGATCGCGTTGGGAGCGCTCTTAAAGCGGTTTCATTTTGGTAGGGTGTGGTTGTGGAGGTTATCCAGTAGGTTCAGTGGGAGG